TTTCCCCTAAATTGTTTTGTCTGTCTAAATTCCAGAATAAAGTGTATGGAAGCCAGTTTTTTTTTGTTTTGTTTTGTTTTTTGTTTTGTTTTTTAAATTTCGTGTTTATTTGGTTCGTACGTTGAAGCTTAGTTTCACATTTTGATGTTTTACTGCTTTGTACAGCCCACGATGGTATTTGCCCATATTGAGTAAATGAATAATAGATACACCAAATGAGGTTTGTTTAGCAAAATCTGTTTTCCTATTGGTGTATTTTGTATTTTCTGTGATCTTTATAGAAGCTTGATTTTCATTTGGCAGGAACTTTTAATTAACTTTGTAGGGTCTCTGTTTTCCTCAAGAAACTGTGAACTCAGCGATGAAATGCAGGTTACAAGCTTACACGTAGTTTTATTTACACTGTTTTCCTTTTTGTTAATGTAGCAGTAATAACACTCTTTGCTTATTGCCACGTTCTGGACAAATTTTCAGACATGATTTTATTCTCAGATGATGGCCCATAGGAACCTGCACCTGATAAATCTGATTTTTCACTTTCTCTATCAACTAGAAGTAATTCCTTTCTCCCTTCTTTGACCTTTCCCCATTTTAGTTAGGTTCTCTTCCCTGTGTCAACATGGATTCCTTCTCTACTTATGCAGGATGGGGCATGGCAGCCTAAGGGAGGTTTCCTTAATCAGGTGTGTGTGTGTCCCTGTGTCCTTCTATTGCTGTTTTCTTCCGGGGACCTAATAAAAGGAGGAAATGGGACAGCGATAGGGTTTAGGGGGTGGAAAGTGGGGTCACGAATTTCATGACATTCTATGAGAAGGTGTTTAAGGTATATGTGTCTTAGGAGGATTTCATTATGGATATTCTTGGAGCATTTGGGTTTCAGTACTCCAAGTGGGGATTCTTTTAGTGGTTCCTGTGGGAATGTAGGTAAATTAGCTTTAGGGGTACAGGCACAGTACTAGCACTTACATTTACTAGAAAATTTTACTTTTTAAGTTAGACATCTAAACAAACTTGAAGAATCTTTTTTGAGAATTGTGTGTTTAATATGTAAAAGATTGTGGAGTTGATTAGAAAAATTTTTTGTTTTTTATGTTTTTTTTTGATGGGGTTTCGCCATGTTGCTCAGACTGGTCTTGAACTCCTGGGCTCAAGTGCTCTGCCTGCCTTGGCCTCCCAAAGTGCTGGGATTATAGGCATAAGCCACCTTGCCTGGCCTACAAGAAAAATTTTGATTTTATTATTGCTGCTATATCTCTAGAGTATCTTCTTAGACATAAATTACATTGGTGACTCAGAACGAAAGAAAAAAGACTTGTTTAACATCTACATTTTGTATATTTATAAATTAAAAGTGTATTTGCCATAGAAAATACATTCTTTTTGTCTCATTAGATTAACAACTCTCTTATGGTTGCTCTGTGAAATTTGAAAAACGCAGCCTTAAGCAAAGACCATAAGAAAGAAAAATTGAGATCAAAGAGGGGAGTGTGTGCCATGGCAGTGGGGTAGGGGTTGGGATTTCAGTTCTGAAGCATGAAATGACCTGTAAACCATTTCAAGGAT